AATTTTGAGGGAAAAAGTCAGAATTTTTAAAAACTTGAAATTTTGAGGGAAAAAGTCAGAATTGTGAAAAACTTGGAATTTTGAGGGAAAAAACAGAATTTTTAAAAACTTGAAATTTTGAGGGAAAAAACAGAATTGTGAAAAACTTGGAATTTTGAGGGAAAAAGTCAGAATTGTGAAAAAAACTTGGAATTTTGAGGGAAAAAACAGAATTGTGAAAAACTTGGAATTTTGAGGGAAAAAACAGAATTGTGAGTTAAACTGAATTTTGAGGGAAAAAACAGAATTGTGAAAAACTTGGAATTTTGAGGGAAAAAAACTGAATTGTGAGTTAAACTGAATTTTGAGGGAAAAAACAGAATTGTGAAAAACTTGGAATTTTGAGGGAAAAAAACTGAATTGTGAGTTAAACTGAATTTTGAGGGGGGAAAAAAGTCTGAAATGTGAGATAAAAACTCAGAATTTTGATGAAAAAAGTTAGAATTATGATATATAAACTCAATTTTGAGGGGAAAAAGGTCAGAATTGAATTATACAAACTCTGACTTTTGAGGGATAAACTCAGAATTGCAAGAAAAAGCCAGAATTCTATATACTTATAAAAAGTCTAAATTGTGAGATACAAACAAGTCAGAATTTTTAAATAAAAAGTTGCAATTACCATTTTTATTTTTTATCCCATGGTGGAAACGAGCTTCCATACAAAAAGTATTGTTGTTATTATTATTGTTTTACAAAAAAACAAAAAACAAAACTATTTCAGGTCTTTCTACTTCAAGATGTCATGTTTATTTCAGTGTTGTTACTTCATACTTTTTTGTGAAATTTACCAGCAATTTCTGAGTGAAAGTGTACGCTGCAGTATATATTACACAGATGTGCACAGCTGAACATGCAGTCTTTCAAAGCACGCACCAGTTATTAGCCATCATGCACACTGGAGCGTTTCATCCTTGTCCAGCATCTCTGCTATCTCTTTCCAGAAGTTATGAGCGATTTGTACTCATTTGAACTAGAGTTGTGTGCATCTCTTAATCCCCTCACACCAGCGCTATTTAAGTATTATTATTATTTTATTGTCTTGCAGGTTTATTTCAGTTAGTTTTAGTTAACGATAATAACTCTGGTGCATAAGAAACAAAGAATAATTTTAGTTTACATACATGTTAATCAAAAGTTCGGAATGAATTGTTTCATGAGCAGAATAATCTCATTGTGACGGCTGGGCTGCATCAGCAGTTTGATGAGAAGACACCAGAGTTCAATGAATATCTGCATTATCAGCATTTATTAGAAATAACTGTTCTTCTGCTGAGTAATATAGTGCACTAGTGTTGCGTCACAGGTGTGCGATCTGAACGTGGCTCATCCAGTCAGAATTCAGTTTTAATGATCAGTTTGATCTTTGATATTTTTGTATGTGAAACAGAAGAATGTTCCTCATGATCTGTGCAGAACTCACTCTTAATGCACTCAATGCATGTGAAAACACAAACATGTACCTGTGCCAGAGTCCTGCTGCTTGTCTCGTTTCCTTCGCTTCTTTTTGCCCTGTGGTGATGAGAGAAGAAG